ATGCCCATCTTCGCACTTGTTTAATTATCCGGTGTGTAGGAATCAGTGGATGCACTTTGGGATGGGCAGGGTAAGCCCTGCATACCCTGATGAATATTGTAATGTTTCTCCGTGTTGAATTAAAACCAAGACAGGTAATATTTAACAACAACGTTTTTTTGTAAACAATTATACACTAAAAACTACTTGATCTGTTTACAGATATTTTACTCAGTCCTTGTGTTCTTTACTTTATTATTTTTCTTGCACATGACTCCGTTCTCTTGATAATTTATTTACATAGTTCACTTCTTCTGATTATTTATTTACACTGTTCACTGCAATCTGATTATTTATTTACACTGTTCCCTTCTTCTACACTATCGCACAGTCCGCTGCACTGTTCACGGTCCACTGCGCAGACAACACTTCACTGCACTGACCACAATTCACAGCACAGACCACAATTCACTACGCAGAACAGGGTCGGCACTGCTACTTACCGCGATGCACACTTCACAGCTCAGCTTCCACTGCAGACTTCAGACTGCTGTTCACCCACTGCACCGCTGTTCACCGCAATGCACACTTTACAGCATAGCTTCCACTTCAGACACACCGACTGTTTACTACTTGACTGATTACATACACTAACTGACTCGCGGCTGCTTACTTCCGACAACTACTTACACAAACTCGCGGCCGCTTACTTCCGAATGACTACTTACACTGACATACTTACACTGACTGACTCGCGGCTGCCGCCAGCGGCGAATTTATACCTGGCCAGCGCTCGTCTCGATACAACCAGCACTTGCTCCACCTTTCCACGCGACTCGCGAATTGTCCGGAACCGTCCAGTTCGGGAGGAAGGAGGGGCGACGGCAGATGACGCAATCCGCGCAGCGAATTCCGGCAGGTGATGCAATATTCGTTACAATATGTACTAGTTTAATACATTTCAAAATAAAAAATAAATGACTCTTACAATTTTGAAGTGTTATTCATTTGGAAATGTTATTCATTTGGAAGTTGGAAGTGTTATTTATTTGGAAATGTGTAATGAACATTATATTGTTTCCTCGGAAGTATTTATTTCATTTTAAATTAGTATGCGGCGGATTATTAGAAATACTTTATTTTTTTATACTTAAATCTGATTTTACGTTAATAAAGTATTATGAACTACTACGTTCATTGTTTTCTCGTTTTAACGGCATAGAAAAGACAAACTTTTGGAGAATGGTCGATCTTCTCCTATATTGAGTAAGGTTGTACATCGTTTTGGCAAAAAAATTCAATCCTTTGTGGTACGATTCACAGAAATGGCTAACAGATAGTGAAGTTAAAACTAAGCTTTATTGTTGGTAATGTCTTTTGATGTCAATTAAGGAAAGTACTTGGGATAGAGATAATAATTTGTCACGAAAAAGTATCAAAAGTTATATAAAAACAGGAATGTCAAAATATTACAAATGTAATTCAGTGAAACTTAAAAGCCTAGAAAAAAATTGAATCAATATCTGAATTACTGTTAGGGGAATACAGACTCACTACACTGTTTTAGAATATGAATATCTTGAAATCATATCTGTGCGTGATTCATGGAAATTATTATTTTGAATGTAATGATTTTAGTGAAACAATTGTTTTGAATAAGTTGAATAAAATTTAAAAAAATATTGACGAGGGGCATAGCTCCCATGCTCCTTTCACCGGTTCAGTAATGTTTTGCCTACCCTGTGCACACTATATAATAGTTCAATAGATATGAGACATTTATTTATTTATGTTAAAAAACAGTTAAAACTGTGTGACGTTCTAAGGGGAGAAGTTAATTTGAAGTTACATTTATATCCAGAAGCAAAACAAGGGGCCATCTCAGCATTTGCTCAAGGATCAGGGAAACAGGACGAAAACCTGTTCGAGATGGGGGTCATTGACCCAGAAGCTGAAGTACAATACGTGTTACAGGTTCTTTAGAATTATAGTCCAAATGGTAAATAATACATTAAATGTCATTGTTAAAATTAATATTACTTTCCTTTTGTCTATTTTCTGTAATAGCTCCGACCAGCAGCGGTTTTCACTAATGTTGATTGCTTATTTTAGGTCACATCTGCATTGTCGAAGAGGTTCTTTGAATGACCGTGATCCTTTGCATCGTGTGTATTGTTTTGTCTCAAACCATTTATTCATCGGTTCTGAAATTTCGTTTCTCCCCCAATATATCGGTTTCTGAGTAGGGTTTGTTTTCTGACTCTTCACATTGACCGGTTACAGGCCTCCTTGGTTGTTGTTATCGCTGTCTTCACGTCCCTCAGTATGTTTCTTGAACATTCTATCAAGTTCAAACAGTTCAGTTTCTTGTTCCTTCAAGAATTCTTCTAATGGTTTCTGCTATAATCTGGTCACGTTCCATGAGGATTACAGCTTCTTTCCCGTCCTTCAGTTTCCTGCCTTGTGTTTCGTTTGCCGAACTCGGTTTGAGGTCACTGAAGGTAACGTCTTCCAGAACCATCCAATTGTTCGTATTGGACCCGCAGCCTTCTGAGAACAGAATCAATGAATTGATCTCGAGTTTATCTCGTAGATTGCTACGCCTCCATTGATCAGCAACACGAAGTTTTTCGTCACTGTAATGTGTGCCTCAAGAGAGCCTCATCTGTCGCTTCTCAGTGGCACCCATTCCGAGGGTTACGCATTGAAATCTCCCGTTATTAAGGCCTTCTGCGGCGATGAACAAGCTACCTTCCAAGTTACCCAGTTCATTCTTAAATGTATCAGGAGATCGAGCTTGCTAACCGCACGATGTTGGTTCACATTGTTGTCCTTGCAGAATAGGTAGACAGGCTCCGTGTTACACTGATGTTCGTGCCCTCTTTTTCCGCAGTTTCAACAGAGTTCTCCTGCTGTGGTTGTTGCATCTCTCCGACAAGTGACACCTGTCGCTTCTGCTCACCACCTTTCGCATAATGCCAACAGTAGTAGTGACTACTATATTGCTATTTTCTGCTTCTGAGGAAGTATTGCGGCTGATTGTCGACTGCATGCTGGTGTAATTTTTTTTTTAATTGCAGACCTATTCCAAACGCGGATCCCCTGCTTCTTTGAGGATGGCTGCCGCCCCGCCATTTTCGGTGGAAAACTGCATTGTCTCTAATGACGATCGTCGACGGCTTAGTTAAGACTGCTACGTCCGCTTTACATGCCCAGGTTTCTTTGAAGATATTGTGGAATTCTTCTTTCCCTTCCTCTTGTAGGACGATTAGGTACTCACCTTTTCCCGTTTCACTCCCTAAACTCTCTTTGGGGTTCATCTTCGCGCAGATTTCTTTAAAAATATCAACGTATGAGGTCCATTTCGGGGCAATTTGTTGGCATTGTTTCTACTCCCTTTTGACTTCTTGCCAGTCATGATTGGTGTTTCCGGGCAAGTTAACTTCTGTCATTGGCCCTGTAAGTGCACTGCACGTTCTATCGCACGCGTTGGCGGTGATCTTCTCCCGCTGACCTACAAATCAGGTTGCAGGTGTATCTCCAACTAGTGGGGCACCACCCCAGTAGCCGGGAGAAGCTCCGGAAATATGTGGTAATGGTGTGCATGCCTAAGTAAGGAATACAGACAGGACAAGGAAAGATCGCGCGCGGTCCGTTTGTTACGTTACTGCTCGCTGGTGTAACAACATTCGCCTGATGTTGATTAGAGAAACGATGGAAAACTACTGATCAGAGCAGCATGCTGCCAGAATTCTCCTTCAAACAGCGGCTGAATTCGACCTAGCTATCTAGTCTCCAAAAGCTTGCCGCCGTAGGACTCGAAGCCGAGGCACTGCACTCAAGAGGAACGATGCGGCTTCTTGCAATTCGCTTACTTCCCTTGCTGCAAGGGATTCTGAAGTTTCACTCCGCTGACCATCCTCTCGGAGGGGGGATGTGTTTATTTGTTATTTTTCTGTGACGTTGCACGTTTCTTATCGACGAGTATCACCTTGTTGCATGCATCTTTTCTAACTGGTGATTTTAATTACCGTGCTGTTCTTCATTGTATCTCAAATAGGACCATGGGCTTCATGTGGTGCCACCACAATGGTTTTGTGAATATCGGTCAATCTACCTTTACACGTACATGCACCAAGACGAGCCAAGGGCTTCTATTAAATATTGAGTTTATGTTGGTAGCAACTAGCTCACTGGGAAACACATGAACTGTTAGCTTGCAGTAATTGTCTCATGGTTGTTGTATTTCGTGTGTCTTGTGATAGCTGTGTTCATGATTTTAGACACAGAGGGAGTGTTAAAATTCAGTGGTTATTAAGGTATGGATTGAAGAGAAAGAACTTTTGGGGCATGTTTTTCATAAAAATCAGCAGTTTACTGAAAACATAAAATTATAATTTTGTGCAGCCTTTTCTAATTCCCAGTGCCCATATTGTGATGCAGTTCATGATTTAACACATTCATTTCATGCGACTCGCTCAGTTCAGGATGCACTGAGAAGTCAGACCTACATCTTTAATGGGCAAGAAAAAGAAAAATCTCGGGTATGAAATCAACTCAAAAATTGGAACAAACGGCCTGAATCTTTAGGTGGGTCGCATAAGCCTTTAAAAGAACTCAATTTTTTGTATCCCTATAAATTTACTGTTGTTCATGAATTAAAAGGAAGTGATTATGAGAATATGTTACAAGTCACACCACTATGAAGAGACTTTCCTTACGCACTCTATATGATAAGACTCTCTTAAATATATAATAAATATACCAAATGTAATATAATGAAATGAGATATCTTTGATTGTTCCTTAATCTCATGGTTACTACACTTACAAGATCAATAGCCATCCTTTTCTTCTTTGCAGAATTAAGAAAAAAAGTTTGACAGGAAATTTTAATTTTGAAAATGTAAAAACCAAAGTAAAGGTAAAAGGATAAAAGAAAAATGGAAGTTTAAGTTCAAAATTGTATGTGTTAACATAGAGGCATTCAAGATATTGGTAAAAATTAGTGAAAATGGCATGCAAACTTGAATTCTATTTACATTGAAATTCGAGCATTGATATTCAAATTGTGATACAATACAATTATTCCAGAAGCATAACACAGTAATTTGTTTAAAACAATATCTTTATATTTACACTGTACATCCAATCAATTTTGACTTATTTCTTTCACTCACATATGCATACACACACACACAAACAAAACGGATTAGAATACAATCAATTCAGTTCAGTCCAATTCCAAATCAACCATCATCACTGCAATCATTTTCAATAACACTGTCACTACCACCTTCGATATCATTATCTTGAATCTTATAGTTCATGAAATCTAGTCTCTTGAACTCACTTTCTTATCCCAATCTTTCAGATTTCCCTCCATCATAAAATCATCCCGCAATACTTCCCAAGTTCCTTTTTCTTCCTGAAATAAAACAGAATAAAATATGGTACTGGGATTAAGTAATATTTTATGAAGGGCAAACCCTCACCCTATGATTATAAAAAAATATAAAAATGAATTCAATATAAATTTACAAATCCATTGCTTGAAAATAAATACCTCCTTAATTTCTTTTTCAACTGCATCTTTTGTAGGTTTACTTATGTTTTTAGAACCCATAAGCATGTCTAGGAAGGTTTGCTTATTAACTGAATTCAAAACCTTCTCCCTTTTACGCTCTGTACCAGCTGCATTAAGTTTCTTATCCAGCTGCTTCTGATGATTTCTTACAGTGTTAAAGAGCTGTACAATACCCCTTGAAATAAAGAAAGAAAAGAATTAAGAATACACAATTTGACCCTTACAGTGGCACAGCCAGCAAGGGAAATGAGGGTGGGGTGGGGGTAGAATGCTATAGTTTATGGTGTCCAGCTGACTTGAACATTTTCTTATAAATTTTTGTTGTTGTTGATTTATAGTTACTTATACTCAGTTGAGATACTGACTTTCAATACTGTAGAAAATTAGTTAAAACTTAATTTGTTAATGAGCCATTAGCTATGGAAGGGGTAGGATCCCATGACCCCCACCCCCAGGCAGGCCAATAGTATATATAAAACTAACATAAACGTTATTAAATGCACATACTTTGTAGCTATTTTAGATAAAGTTCTCTCTCTATTCTTCTCCAAAATGGATGGTTTAATTCTTCCTTTTAACCTCCATTCTCTTCTCTGAAACACAATACATACATAAATTAAAGTGCATTTAAAGATCCAAGCATTCAAAACACTTACAACAAACATTTAACAATCACCTTTCTCCACGTCTCTCATTATGAACAGTTACTACTATATACTACTTTCAAATTTTCAAGAGCTCTATTTTATAACAAAATTGATGTGTATTTAGAAATTTCACTTCAGCTAGTCTATCCATATTACAGTCAACTACTGGAAAACAGGTGATTTTTTTTTCTGCGATAACTTCTAACACATGAGGGCAAAAATATCATTAAATTGTTCCCAAGAATGCTTGTTGCTATCCAGAGTACAGGAAAATTGGGCTAAAATTTAGTATACGGTACAAGTCCAAATCCAAAATTTAGTATACAGTACAAGTACAAATCCAGAGTACAAGAAAATTGGGCTAAAATTTAGTATACGGTACAACATAAGCAGGCTGTTAAACCGGCACTTTGCCCCGCTTCGGCGAAGGGGTCGAGGGGTGTTTAGGGTATTATAAGGGGAATATTTTGGAGGGGGAGGAGTGGGGTACAAAATAAATATATTTATAAATATATATATAAGCATGAGCGATTTTTCTGAAATAATTTTAATGTTTCGTAATTGGACATGAACGTGACATCAAAAGTTAGGAGGGGAGGGCAATTTCACCGTAGTATCTCATCAGAGCTTCATTACATGGTGGTGCCTAGTACCATTGAAGTGATGTTTTGCTGTGTCGGGTTTGCTGTGTCAAAGTGGTTAGCTACGTTGCTGTCGTACAGTTACGTTTCTTGCGTTCTTCAGATTCTTTGTGATTTGTGTTTTTGAATGTCGAGTGTCTATGCTACAATGGGGAGAATAAATGAGGTTTTTTTATGCGTTGCGCCGAAGGGGGTGTTTGGCTGTTTTTGAATGGACAGAAGAATGTGGTTTGATTGCTACAGGATTTAGGTGTCTTGTGTGTAAGTGTCCAATGAGGATGGCCAAGTGAAAGGAGTTGTGTGATGGTTTCGAGTGGAAGTGTAGCAAGAAAGGGGCCACTCCCCATGTGCGAAAGTATTCAGCGTGAAAGGGGTCATGGTTCGTACAACTGGCCAGTTCGACAGCTACTTGGCAGAATATGTTCGGAGACACCTCCAAGGGGGCAAAAACCCAACTAAGAGGTTTTTGTCATGCGCCTCTAAACTCTACGAGCAGTAACAATTCGCAATAATAACCAGTGAAGGTTTATTCATTTCTATCTGAGCACGTAGCATATTTGAGGGAACGGCTTTAGGCCCCCCCCCCCCCCGCCATGCTTCTCTACGGGTGTACTGTATACTAAATTTTAACCGAAAATTGCCAAAACTATTTATACTTATAATATTATGACAGAATTCACATATCCATCCCATCATTAAAAGTAACAGCTTTAAAAATATTTTTTTCAAGGGTGGAAATGGAGCCATTGATTTCTTGATGTTGCTTTAGTGTGAATCCCTTTCCTGCATCAAAAGTGTATATGGCATATCAGCTTCAGTTATTTAATTTTAGCACCATAGTAAATAGCCGGTGGAAATTACGATATCCCCAATCAATTTGAGGAAACATTCCCCGCATTTTGTTCATTGATTTAGTGACTCGCCAAAACATGTGTTCTCTGTCCTGTTTCATGAGTGTTTGAGCAAACATTTTTTAAATGGCAACAAACACCAAGGAAATCGGAGAGAACATGAGTACTTACACCCCTATCCTATTCTCTCTTCTAGCTAATTACTACAATGCCAACGAAGATGTACTGTGTACAAATCTTCTTTGTACTTCACAATAGTGCTTGAAAGAGGCCGTAATGCCACAGTTTACTTGCTACTATTGTCTGATTTTGAAATACCACTACCAACATTCTCTCTGAAATGTCAGGCATAAAGAAGATTGGTGCACAGTACAACTGTCGTACTGAAATAATCCATCAGTACCTCTTGTGCAAAGATTAATGTAAAAATCATACACAATCGAAATTCTTCCCAACATGCTACTCCAGTAATCTCAAACTTGCAGACTACCTGCCTAAATTAATATCCAGAGTATTACTAACCATATACAATGCTGTTCGCAGCAAGTTGTGCAACCACAATTACATTGAGGCCTGTGCTTTTCTTGTTCAATTTAAGATTTTTGAATAACTTAGAATAATCTATTATAATCTCTGGTGAGAACAAAGGATATGCTTTTTACCATGGTATGAACACAAACCTTTAGTCTTGAATGGCGTTTCTCTTCAGCAGTATTTTCTTTCTTTACTGTTTTGAGATCTGGTTTCTCTTCCTTTATCTCACCCTCAATTTCAAATCCCAAATCAGAATTATTTTCTTTTTTCACAACGTCACTAATCTTTTTCGCTTTGGCAAGTACAATATTTTGTTGATCTTTGGAAGCATTAGTCCTCAATATCTTTGCCATTGCATCTGCCCATCCTGAGTTTCCATGTGTTTCGAATTCCTCACCATGATCCATATCCACATCTTCAAATTCATCTGCATGTTCGCTACCCTCTTCATTATCCGACTCAGAACTGAAATCATCAACTGTAACAAGATATTCATAATTAAATACCCACGTGCCCAATTGCTTCACTTAACCTCAAAACAAATAAACATGCCTATGTTAGCATTGTTTTTCTCACACAGTATATTTCACATTAATAATTACAAACACCGAACCTGTTCGTAAAATATGTTCTGGCACCTGCTCTTTTAAGCTCACATTAACGTATTCAGAAGACATAATTCAAACAATCTATTTCACAGATCCACTGGGTCCCAACAGCTTCTAGATCTTCACCAATCTTCACCAGCAGACCGATACCACATGGTTTGTCTATGATTCAATTGTAACTTTTCGTTCCTCTCAAACATGGATTTCCGATTCCTTGCGAGAAACGATTCACCTTTTGTCGTTCGTGTCCTAATGGTTCGTTCATTGCACCGGGATAGAATGATTTTTGTAATGAATTGCATGAATGTTAATTATTGACAAATATGAAAGGAAGCCGTCCACTCGCCTTTTCCAAAATAATTGTACTATACAACAAGAAATGATAAATTAATTTTAATACATTTCAGTAGCTGAATGCGTTGTTACTTGTATTTCCTGCCTTGTGTGTTCATTGTTTTGACAGACCATCGCCAGCAGATGTTTTGGTAAGCAAAAAGCGTTTCGTTAGATCTATTACGATTCAAAAAAATTATTTGTATGAGTTCACTATATGAAGATAACACTGCATTCTTTCAGTTCTCATTATTGATTTTATGTTCAAGTAGTGGTGGATTCCATTTGAATTATAGTACACAAAATAAAATACGAGGTTGACATTTCCGAGTTTGACATTGGTGAGTAAAGTAAGCGTGGGAATGACACACTGATGTTCCCGAGCGCGTGTGTAAAATATTGCTATGTGTTTGAAATATGATTAAATGTTATGATAAACATGAAAGTACAAATTATATGAATATACTCTTACTACTTTGCAATAATTGGATAAATACTTAAATGGGAATTTTTATCTATATCGTTATAACTTTATATGCATTACTATGCAGTTGCTTACTGGTACGCCTTAGAGGTATATCTCTCCCATGTTAAATTGTGTGTGTGGGTGTGTGTTTAAGAAACATTTTCTCAGAAACTGTTAATGCTATCTTTTTCAATTTTCCTCTCAAATTATGTAATCTTTGTTACAAACTTTAATGAGGCCATTGTGTGAAATCTGTATTATTTTTGAAAATATGTATTTTTGAATTTGTTTGAAAATTAAACCTGAAAACTTGCAAAATTTTGAGTTATTTTAATGAAAAATTCATATTTTTGAAAAATTTCATGTTAAAGTATGTATTTACACAGGTTACACGTGATGTAATTCGATGTGAAATTATTGATGAGATTAGATGAGAAAATTTGGAAGGAATAGGATTGATAGAAAATGAGAAAATGTTCTGTATATATTGAAAAATTCTACTTAATAGGACATGAAGATCAAATATTTTCATAGCATTCCTGCACCAAACATTAGTGCCATTTACAATACAAGAACACTGTATGTTAATCTAACGTTAAATGCAGACAGTTAAGCTTTTCCATCATTACCTTAGAAATTTGATGATGAATTTTTAAATTTTCTATATTGTCACTTTGGTAGATAATAGTTGCATTTCATGTGCTAAACCAGTATGTTCATTCACAGAAAGTGATACTGTGGCTTCCCCATTCGATACATGAAACTTTTTTTGATAACTCATCTGACAAAATTTTGAGGTTTATTTCGTTAATATTAGTGCTGACATCAGAAAAGTTAAATTTATCCTTTCTTTCTTAACCGTTGTAAAATATGATACAACCTCTTGTACCATGCTGGCATTAGGTGAACAAGGAAATACTGGATTCACCACAGATATTTTTGATTTCCAATTTTCTTTTGCTTCTTATATGTATGTATGAAGTTGTGCATATTGCTCACCACCCCTTCCCACTGAAAGATTCCCCTCATAATCCCCTAAACACTCTTCGTCCCCTTCGATTTCTCCTTCGCTGGAGCAGTGTGAAGTGCCAGTTTAAACAACTTCCTTAGGTTGTACTGTATGTTAGACTTCAGCCAACACCCCTACTGAGTGCCCTTTAGTTAGTGTTTCATTCACAGAAAGTGATACTGAGAAAAAAACTTGCAATACACTTACAGGACTAATTACCTCAGAAGTTGACGTGCCCGGAATCACTAACAATTTAGTCTCTAAAAATTTATATAATAAAAAGTATTATTTGATTACTTCAATGATTTTTAAAAGTTGTTCTTGTTGGTTATATGGATGTAAAAGTATATAGTATGAGCAACCCTGTTTTTCATTGTGCTGAAGAACTGAAAAGGTCCAAGTATGCAATGCAACCAAAAAATATTACATATTTCATTTTTATGTTGAAGTAATAGTAAAATTAAATTTTATTCATGTGTGTTAACTTTTGGAAATATTTATATTTCTTGTGTTGAAGTTATACATGTTCTTAGTTTAAATATTATTCAGCAAAATTTACACCCCCTTGTCATGAATTAACAAAAGATATTAAAAATCTGTATATCTTGTTATGCTTTATGAATTTTGGTACTCAAGAGTTCAATTCATTTTTTTTTTAGGGTTTGATTAAAGTTATAAATAAATCACTAATGTGCACTTTCATAATGCAATAATTTGTTTCTTCATTGATAAGAATGTTGCCAGACAATAAAATAGCATTTTGAGTAAACTTTACTACAAAACTAGATAGATGGTTGAAATGTTGGTATCACTTCCCTTGACACTGAGTCACCCAGACAGTGGGAAGCTTCACGTGATATAAGTATTAATTACATAATATGAGTCTGTCATTGAATTGACTTTAACATATTCTTTTTAATATCTTAGTTTTTTTATTGAATCTGATAGTTTTTGAGATTTTAAAGACACTTTTTCATGGATTTATTGCTATGTTTTGCATCCTTTTGGTTGATGAAACCAAGGGATAATAAAAGATGGTTTTTAAACTCTCATTAGAGCATCTTGGCAGTAAGGTTGTAAAAAACCAAATTCCACCCCTACTTCGTTCTGAATCACATTTACAAGTGCTTTGTTTTCTGTGAACGTAAGCAGATGAAAAAATAAAGTTCTCTTGAGTTCAATTTTTCTTTCGTTTTATAATTGTTTTTATTTAGTAGGCTTAAATGGATTTTTCTTTTTCAGAACACATTATTTCTTGTGAGATCTGAACTTTGCAGTTATGAGATCATCATTTCGAACATCTGCTGATAGTACAAGTATGTTTTTCTTATTTCATTTGTGCAAGTATATGCAGTACTTTTGTGAACATGTAATTCTAGGGTATAATATGTTTTACTTATTTCAATTAGAGCTAATTCAAAAAAGAAAAGACGTTATTATTTTGCAATATAGGTTCTTCCAATTCAGTAATTTCCTCATCTATTTTTAAGGTACTTGTTCCTTCAGAAAACATGACTTCATTGTTCATCAACACATGTTGGCACATTACCGCCGTTTGTACAGTGCTAAATGTGGGGTTGATACATCTACTCCAGCTTATTTCAAGCCTCGTTACAAGCCGAGACCACGCCCTTCTCTGCCAGTTGCAGATATGGCTTCTCACCCTCAGCTTACAAATAAAGATATGAAATTCCTCAAAAATCTTGCCGGTGAAGTTAGAACTTGGTGGAATCGAGGTACTCCTAGGTAAGTTATTTGTATGTGTTATTATTTAAGCAACTTTTATCAGTGCTGGTGACAATTTTTTGATTGATAACTTTTGATGATGCGGTACCCAGTGTTAAAAAGTGTACTCGTAGTAAGATTAGCACCTTTATTATTGTATTATTGTTACATAAGGAAATAAATGTTTGAATGAGATTTGACCTCCTAATTTGCAGGCATTCTGCTGTGAGTTGTGGAGAAAAGAAATGCATAGATAAAGCAAAGGGAATTTCCCAAAGTTCACCATCAGGGCAAGGCAGAAGTTGTGTATGTTAATAATTTGGTTTATATTGTTAAATAATATAATTCTGATTAATATTAAAGTGTGATATATGTTGTTTTTTTCTCTCCAGAATGGTTTGTACGAACATGAAGAGGCAGACCATAATGTACACAGTGTGACAGCTCTGAATGTTAAAAATTCACCTAAAAAGGTACTTTTAACCTTTTCATGTTTAGCTGAGATGATTTCAAAAGTGAAGCATAATGATTTATTTTTAGGTGGTATTCCAGAAGTAGGATTTCTCAATGTGGTTTGATTATTTTTTAAAAATAATAATTGTATATTTACTTGTATGATGACTTTACATTCATAATTAGTATTATTATTACTTTAGTAATTATTTAGGGGAGTTGAAGCACATGTTAAGGGTGCATTACGTGGGGAGAGGGGGTATACAAAATACTCAAAATTTGTGTTAGTAATTTATGGACTGCCCCTAAGTTGTGGCAATAACATATCAGGAGATGCCATACCTCAAACACAGTGGTCTTACGAAAACTAAAGTATCTGCAAAAATGCCATTTCATTCAATGAGCTTGTTCCACTTTTTGGTAAAAAACAAAAAAGTTGAGTACGGCCAAACTGGAAGGGTTTGCAGTTCTACATAGTGATTTGCATCACTTCTTATATTTTGTGAAAGAGTTTCTGCAACACACATTTTTAAAACTCATTAATAATTTGTAATTACCCTGTTAACTTGTTGAGTACTGTATTGTAATTTGATTGAGAAAGTAATGTTATTTCTTTACTGATTTATTCATTCATTGCTCTCAGAATTAGTTTATTTCACTTCTAATATGCATGCTGTTATAAATTTCTCTCTTGTATAAGAATTGTGTACCTTATGAAATTTCATGTTGGGCATTTTATTCATTGTGGTTGTGCATACTGGATATAAATTTGTTTTCATCTACTTCTTCCAGAGAAAGGATCTTAATTTAAAAAGATGTGCATTGGCATACGGTGTCTCATCAAAGTTGCGTGAGATGAATGTATATCATCCTCCTCGAAGACGGCTTGGGGTAATCATAACAATTTCAATCATATCAATGTGCATATAAAGACTTGTAATGGTTTTTTTATTTGTTTCCTTATTAATTGCAGACAGGAATTGCAAACAAGTATTGTGGCCAGTGTGCCTTAAAAATTAATAAGGTAAATATTATTAAGTGTATTTTGGTTTTCTTCTTTCTTCCTGTTAGTTGTGTGATTCTGATAGTCCGATACATATTCTTATCTGCTTGATAGTCATCAGTAGAGGGTGGATTTTAATGACCTAAAACATTGCCAAAAATGATCAATAAAATGCTTTAAAAATGCCCTAAAAACAAAGAAAAATGACGTATAAAATTTTATTAAAACCACTTCAGATGAACAATTCCAGCGGTTGGGTATGTTACTGATGTAATGGAGGTTTCTTCCTTTTATTAAACTAAATTCAACTTGCAAACTTTGGGTTTTGACTATTCTTTAAAACAAAATCTCTGTCTTTATTTATTGTGAAATCTTTGGAACTTATGTCACCGATAAACATCACAGGAACCTTCGATTACATAGTACTAACAAGGGCTGACATAATATATCAGCGAAGAAATTGAATAGGCTACTCGGGAATTATGTGGAGAATATTTGCTGCACCTCGTAATTATTGTTTGAAACAAATACCATTAATTGAAATTGATATTAAAATCAATAAATAAGCAAAAATGCAGTAAAAATGACACCAAAAGGCAAAAAATTACTTATTAGTCAAAATGAACAAAAAATGCAAAAAACAAACAATAAACAACAATAACAAAAAACATAAAAATTGGTCATTTTTCGTTTTGTCATAACATAAAATGAATTTCCATACTAAACAGCATTGGTCTAAAGTGAAAAAGGAAAAAAATGAGTAATTTTGTGCTTAATTTAACTTTCTTGCTGTGTAGATTATATAACGATATTCATTCCTAGTTATAAATTTATTTGGGTAAAGAGATTACCATTCAGTTTTGCCATGGTTGATCTGTTGCTATGTTTAGTTTAGAGGACATGATTTCATTGGTTTTTCAATGAAGGATCATCCCTTTGCTGTAAAATTGCAAACTATTGTATCATTTATTTTCAAGAAACATTAACCTAATAATTCAGAACAAGAATGATCTCTGTTCAGTTCTGAAACAAGTTCATCATATTCTTATCACTAAACATTATTTAAATTTTGAGAATTAATTTATTTGGAGACATCTGATTGTTGATATTAAGAAAGGACACATTTGTTAGTTGAAATAATTGTCACAGTGTTGTTACATCTCTGGCTAATGCATAGCATAATGTTTTGAAGATATACAATTAGAATGTTCCTGGGTGCTTTTTCTCCTATGATTATTTCTTTGTGATAGTGCATTGTGTGTTTGTTATTTTTGGTTGCCATTAACTTTGTCAATTTTTTACCGCTATGAATGTTGATTATGAAATATTAGTTAATTTCAATTGCATTTTAAAGTGCATATTTTAGAATTTTTAGGTGTATAATAATTGCACATTTTTAAAAGCATATTTCAAGCCTTTTTAGGGCATGAAAATCCTCTCCCTAAATTACACTTCTTATTTTTCATTTTTCTTTTCAAAAATACCTTAACTGTAATGCTTATCTACAAGTGTTTCAATTTTTGTACATGTTGTGACTAGTGCCTTTTGGGGATTTGAATTATTTGGATATATTGTGTGCAATTTGCATGTTCCAATACAGTACAAGAAACCCACTGATATACATAAATGATTTTAACATATTTTTTATTAACTGTTAAACTATATTTTAAACCTAATGAAGCTTAATAGTTTCTTGAATATTTTTGGTTGTTGAACTGTCAAGTTTTGGTTTTCAAAATTTTTTATTCAAGTTTGTGTACAACAGACAGAGCAACAAATGTCTTGAATCTCTCTTCCCTTCATTGATATTTTATCCTTTCAGGGATCCCACATGGGTGCTAGTGGAGATATTGCAGCGACAAGTAATTTGTTTGCAAATGAAATAAGTTCTATAATTGAAGAACAGTAAGTAATTAGTTTGTTTTGTAATGTTAAAAACATTTGTAAATGATGCAGTGAAATATGATCTGATGATCTCTGGGATTTTCATATTTTTTATTCTACGGGATAGTAATTTTTCTCATACAAAGTGTCAGTGGAAAATTGAAACTTTTCGATTTGACTTTTAAACTTAGTTCATTTTGAGATTAATTCATTTAATTGAATAAATTAATTCTATTAATTTATAGTTGACGAAATTAATTGAATAAAATTAATATTAATATATTTATGATTAATTGGATAAAATTAATTGAATAAATTAATTCATTATTGAATACATTTTGTTTAACCTGCTGATAGTATGTTTTGAATCACCATTAATTCAGAACTGGTGCCTTTTAGGTCCCATACTTTTCTGTATGAAATCAAGAGGTTAAAGATGAAAAAATCTGTACAAATTTGAATGAATTTTATACCTGTTTTTAGATATTGTTTAAAAAATTGTAAACTGAAACTATGTTGTATGTAATATATGTTAAACGTAAACTATTCTCTCATTAACAGTTTATTAAATAAATGATTTACAATTTTGGCACAACATTAGTGAATATGCTTTGCACACTGTTTTATGGCAGAATTCACATTATTTTGATTTTCTGTGCTGACTCCAAGGGCATAAGTGACATCAATGTCTTTTGCAAATTATTGTTTCTACACTCTCTTCTCTGTAATTCTTATTGACTGGTTCATTTCAAAATCTTCCGATATAAATAATACCATTCAGTACATAACCACTTTTAGATTCACAAACCCAAAATATCTTGATTCCATATTTTGCTGGTTTGTTGGGCATATACATAACAGAAGGGCATCTACCACAAAAGCTTACAAGTTCATCTACAGCAACATTCTCATCAGGTCTGTAGGCACTTTGACAGTTTTCAGTAAAGAATGTTCACTAAATTTTCTGAAATGTACACATTTGTCTGTTTGCAGTCTCTGTTCTTGTGTTCATCTCACATCAAAACAAAGAAATCGCCTTATGTCTTTGATTCATAGCAGCCTGAAAAAGTGGATCGTTTCTCACATTGAGAAAAAGGTCATGAGCTGAAACATCCCCAGCGTATAGTAATAAACCCAATCTAGTGGTGCTACAGAATGGCACACACTTTCTTGTATTAGTATTTTCTTTTCTTTGTTCTGTGTAGCTATTCAGACTTGTCACATACTCTTGCCAGCTGCCAACTATCGCCGCCCACAGTACATTTTTTAAAACAATTTTTCAATTTTTCGGTTTCCTAATAGTTGAACTGAAAAAATTCTTTAAGAGTATTAAAGAAGTGTAAAACATCATCCTAAATGACAATTTTGTTTGCAAAATTTGGAGCTATTTTTAAGAAAATGGCAGGTATGCGTTACTGTAAAGGCAAAATTTAAAGTTCTATTTCACATAAAATTTTTGAGTTTTTGAAAATCTTCATTTGAAGTCATTTGAGGCACTTTAACTTACAAATGCAATATTATTTATCAATTGCTGGAAATGTGCATATTAACAGCACGAGAGATATGTCAAAATGTTACATTTGTGTAATTTTTAAAAAAACAATAGAATACCCCAAAATGAACTATGTTATATTAAACAGTGCAATTAGCACTATCTGTTAGAAAAGTTCGAAAAAAAAATTTTTGCCATTTTTGAGAAAATTTTGAAAATGTCCCTGTGTGTTCATGTAAAATATCCCCGAATTTTAAGGAATACTTTTCAAAATTGCAAAGTTTTGGCTCAAGGCAGATCGATTGAGGAATATCCATTTTGGAAAAAAAACTATGTATGATTTAGGTGTTAGAAATGTTCACAGTCAGACAAATCGATGGATGAATGTTTTGAAAAAAAAAGAAAAACACTTTCAGTATTAGGAGACCCCAAAACCAAATCGATTTTCCATAGCATTACATAACTCTCTATATTCTGTATATTACTCCGTATATATGTACGTTTATGAGGAAGTAAAATGCATCAAATTCTATAACAGTCAACTCATCCACTTCATATTTCTGGTGGAAGCCACCCTAGCAGCTTCAGCATTATTAAAGTACAGTGTTTTTTCCTTTATTTCCTTTGAAACAAACATACAAAGACATCTTTCAGAGTGTAAATGAATGTGTTTTTCACAGGGCCTGGAGCAATTTTTAAAATATTTTGAACTCTATAATGACTACATTATGGTGGATTTTTTATTCCTAAGAAAACCATTTTTTGACACCATTGAATCTGCCTGAGGACCTTCAGGTTCCAGACATAATGTATCTGCTTCATTTGTATCACTTTCATTACCATCTTCCTCTTCGTTTTCACAGATGATAATGATTATTATTATTATTATTATTATTATTATTATTATTATTATTATTATTATTATTATAGTTATTATTATCATTACCATCATCATCATCTAGTCTGTCTACCTCTTCTTCAGTCTCCCTGGTTCTCTTCTTTCCCGTGGCTTCTATCTCATTGCCATTTTTAAGTATGATGAGTTTAATTCTTTTTGTGTGTTTATGCCATTTTATTTGGTGCTTCTCTATTCCCAGAACAATGTCCTTATTTTAAGTCTTTTTCTTATGGATACATTTCTAATTCTGCTTTTCTTGCAGATCTTTAATATTGCGCTTGAGTATTTTATTTGGGCTGCTTCAATCCTTTGTTTGTCTCTTTGTATTAATACCCAAATTTCATGTCCATATAAGGTTGGTTTGGATTCAATGTTATGCAGTCTAATTTTTGTTTCTATATTCATGTTTTGAAAATGTCTTTTGATGCATCCATTGATTTTGTTGCATGTTGCCAATTTTTGTATCTATGACTTCCTTTTGTAATGAAATTTTGTTTTCCAGCTATGTGAAAGTTGCTACTTGTTCTATAATTTGATTATCTATTAATTTTTTTATTCTAATGTATTCTTTGCCTATTATTCCCATTGCTTTAGTTTTTGTGGTTGATATTCTCATTTTGTATTCTTTTATGATCATTTTTAATTTATGTGCTGCTGTTTGTAAGTTAGGTTCTCTGATTTTGTCAGGATTACCTGGTCATCTGCATATAATTTGTTTTTTATTTTCTTGCCATGTCTCAGATACGCCTTCGACTTCCTCCTTCAATCTTTTGACTATATGATTCATATATATGTTAAGCAGAGGTGGCAATGACATGCAGCCCTGTTGTAGTCTAATGTTTGTTGGGATTGCTTTTGTGCAGTTTCCATCAATATTTTGGAATACGATTTTTGATTTCTTATAAAGACTTTTTATCACATCTATTAGATGTTCCTCTAAGTTTTCTTCTTCGAGTACTTTTCACAGATTCTGGAAGTTGGAAATATATTCAAGGTAGTATAATTTGTTTCATCATTGCCTCTGAATTCATCAATATTTTTGGTCTTGGACAAACAACTATAAATAGACTTGTAAAATTTTTAGGATCTTGAAACAAATTTTTGAACCATTTAGTAATGCACCAATCAGTCTTTTCCAATTGTCTTTCGAAAATGTTGATGGTCTCTCTTGCCTCTTCCTTTGTCAGCGTTCCCCCTCCTCTCCTCAGGCCCCACTCCCTTCCTTACCCCAAAACTCTCTACCACCTACCTCTGTCTGCCTCCCTCCCTTTTTCAGCACTCCTGTCCCTACCCCAATTCCATGCCCTGTCCTCTTTCTCCCTCCCTCCCTCCCTCCCTCCCTCTTTCCATCCCTTCTGTAGCATGCTTCAATACACCACGCCCCTCTCCAGTCACCTTACCATGCTCAGCTTACTCTCCCCTGCCCTACCTCACCCAGTCACTCCTCAACTAAGCCCAGCAATTCCTAGAACCTAGATGCATTGAGAATTGCAATAAACACAAAATTGTGCAAAAACATATATTTTCCCTTCAGAGAATTAATTTCAAAAACACCATTGAACCTCCATTTCTGAATGGTTACATACTCATACATCACTGTAGGATATATTTCAAATTTCATTTTTGGAACTTCAGTCGTTTTTGCTATGCAATGATGTCATTCAGACCATTTCTTCTCTTAAATTAGGAATGGGCCTGCCTGCATCATAAGGAAATAGTAAGACTTTAGGTTCATGACGACATGAATATTTCAAATGTTAATTTCACTTATATTACTTTGATATTTGTATTTCGTATGAATGAATATTTCACCATAAGCTGAATATTGTGTTGCATAAACATTTTTTTATGCCTGTTTCTATGGAATAAACGAGCAATAAAAAATACTTTGGTAATTGAATATTGTTGAAAAATTACAAGAAATTCTCAACAAATTTCCTTGTTATCTCTTCAGAAAAGAAGAACTGCTTTACTTACATTTCATTCAGGATATTACTCAAGATATTCTAAGTAACGAAGTTTATTCAAATGATGGGGTAATGATGATTTTCAAGAAACATCTTTGTTTGAACAGAGAAAAATTACACAGGGTAAGTGTACATATTCTTTTTTATCTGCATGAGCATTTTATTTAAAAATTTTATTTTTTTGTTGTTGACTTGACCACTTCAGCTTTTACAATTTCTGTTGAAGCTCTTGGGATTATAGTTGTTCTCTAACTTACTGAAAATTGATATATCTGCAAATTAATAGTATTATCTGTATATTTAAGACACATTTGATGTTTTCATGTAAGTTTACATAAAGAGGATTGATCAGCATTATAATTGTACTTATTTTTTACAGGATTCTATTATAATTGTTATTGTTGTTCTTCAATTTGGATTATTGTTTGTTGTTTCTGTTTAGGATAAAATGATAAAAGAACTTCAGAAGCTTGGACTTAAAATTGGCCTTCCTCATTACAACTATTCCGCATTTTTTGGTTCAAATAGTGTGTCTCTTGGTGAACAGAGTGGTGAAAATAGTGATTATGAATATTATGAAGATTATCATTCTAAAGTAAAAAGTAGTACCTCTTTGAATTTCAACCACAAAACAGATTCAATGGCTGACTTGAATGAAATTTTAAGCAGTTCTATGAGTGAGCGGGGAGAAGAAATGGAATTAGTTAAGCAGGGTGAAATATGTGAGAAAAAGAAGAAAGAAAGTAAAGTGCTTGGATTTTTAGAAGAAATGGGTTTTGATTCAAATATAGCTGAAGAAATTTGTGTGTGTATGACTGACAAAGATTTCTCAAAATTTCAATTTGCCTCAAATGAATCTGACACAAATACTGGGTTTCATGGTGATTTTGCCAAAGCAAGAGATGGGGATAGTTTTGATTGCAAAAAAGAACATCCTTCAAAAAGTGTTACAGAATTATTTCATTATTGTGATGCAGGTTTTGCTTTTGGGGATGGTAGTAAAACTCAGTCAAGTATTATTTTTGATCAAGAGGATACAATGGAAATGGAACGGATATTGGAGTCCATTCATGATGGTAATACAGAGAGAGATGATATTGGAAGTATTCCAGCAGTTTCATCTAGTGTCCGTAGCAAAAGTAGAGAAAGTGAAAGAGAGTCATGTTTTGAAGCAGACCTTCATGGAGAGAGCATTAAGGAGAAAAATTCTAAAAAAGAGTATTCAGAACAGAAATGTAAAGCAAACTCTGCAAGTCCAATGGGAAGTGATTACAGTAGTATGAAAGATCATGATGAGAGCATTTACGAAGGCTATTCTGAAGAACAAGATGAAGGTCAAGAAAGTGCATCTGAAGAAGCAGAAGAAATTCCAGAAGATTTATCTCAAAGTAGTGTGTCGTCAGGCATATCGCAAATCACTGAAAAATTAAAAGAATTCAATGTAGATATGAATACAATGGTGCATTCACGGTCAAGTGAAAGAAACAATTTATCATCAGATAATAATTCTAATTCCTTAAGAGAACTTGTACTCTAATGAAACGTTACATAGGTGAGAAAGAAAAATTCTATCAAAATAATTCTTAAAGTTAAATCAGATGTTTTTGAGATATATTTGTATGAAATATCTATGAGCTAAATGGCAATGACTTTTGTCATGATTTATTGTTTGAATGTTTTAGATAGCGCTTTAAATTCATTCTTAGCCTTTTGAGAATGTTGATGAAATGTATTAGGATTTTTTTCTTCTGAAAACATTTTTAATTAGTGAGAAAGTTGCAAGAAATAGCTCCAAAGTTTCTGTCCATGTATGTATTGTGTATGTTTGTATTGTGGTCAGATTGGAGGATATATTTATATTTATTTATTTATTTATTTAAATTTATTTTATAATGTACCTCATGCTGTATTGATGTAAGCTTTCATATACTCATGGTTTTATTTATGTGAAATTCTTAAATTTTAATATTTTTTTCTATCTTAAATTTTTTGTTTATTATCTTCTTTCTAAGGATAGAGTTCATGTTCTGTGATATTCTAATTATTGATCAAATTCCCCTTTTTCTTTTCCACAAATAATTGCTGTGAATTAATACTGACAGCTATGAGTAGCCAGTAGTAACTTTTGGAACATTACAAAGCCTAAAGAAAAGGTATAAATAATCAAACCAAAATGAACATGTTAGTAAAAGTGTAGTTGATATGTTTTCAAAGGTTTATTGCAATTGTTCTTTATAAATTTATCCTTTTTTTTTTATTCAAGAGGCATAATAGATTGTGGTAAGTGACAATAGATACTAAGTATAGTCAAGTCTT